TAAGTTGTGTTTCACTCCTTGACCCTAATGTTTCTCACCCTCCCCACCTTCCTCTCTCTCTCAAAAGCAAAGGAAAAAAATACCCTCAGGTGAGTATTAACAAAAGAGAAACTTTTTTTAGGCATCATTGCTTCATAAAATGAGAAAATATAGTTTCCTACACATCTTCTTAAAAAAAATACTGAAATTCATAAAAGTAAAACCCACACAAAATACCACTTTAAAGTTTTGTATGCAATAAAGAAGAGAAAGATCACACCTGTGGTTCCATTGAATTCACTCCCATTCCCCATTCCCAAATAACCCAAATTTAGTGCATATGTCCTACATACATAGACAAAGGCTTTCTAATTCTTGGCAAAAATCTCCTGAGCTCAAATGTTTTATGGCTATGGGATGTCCAAAGGGTACTTATTTTTTGGAATTTCCAAACCCAAAATCTATACTAATAAAAGCATCTTCCGGACAAAGCCGCCCAAGGCTCAGGCAGCCATGGTGGCCACCATTGGCAGAGGCAACAGGGTTATGGGGCAGCACTTTCCCCTGATCATCCAGCAGAGGGAGGCCAGACTGTGGGTTAGACTGGGGCAGAGACAGAGGTGGTTAGGGGTGATCAGGCCAGCAGGGGGGCAGTTAGGGGCAACCAGGCCAACAGGGGGCAGAGGCAGTTAGGGTCGATCAGGCAGGCAAGCAAGCGGTTAGGAACCAGCAGTCCTAGATTGGGGGGGGGGGGGGGGGGGATGTCTGACTGCTTGTTTAAGGCTCCATCCTGCAGGGCAGTTGGACATCCCCCGAGGAGTCCCAGCTTGGAGAGGGTGCAGGCCGGGCTGAGGGACCCTCCCCTGTGCACAATATCTAATAAAAGTCCACATCCAGCCCAAAATAGATGCCTACCATTCCTGCTCTCCCTTAAATCTGTAGGGTCTCCCCTTCTTTATCACACTTGCTTCAAACTTTTAGACTGGCAACCAATACCAATGAAGTGGTTACAGAAAAGTGGCAGGGAAATGATGTCTTTATAGCTCGGCCAGCATGGCTCAATGGGTGAGCCTATGAACCAGGAGGTCATGGTTCAATCCCCAGTCAGGGCACATGCCTAAGTTGTGGACTGGATCCCCAGTGTGGGGCTTGTAGCAGGCAGCCAATCAATGATTCTCTGACATCAATGATGTTTCTACCTCTCCCTCCCTCTTCATTCCTCTCTAAAATCAATAAAAATAAATTTAAAAAGAAAATGTCTTTATAATCTCTAAAAGTGGCAAAGAACAATAATGTTGCTTATTCAAATCAACTTATTAGACTTAAAAAGTAGGCAATAGTTAGGCTTTGGGAATTGTTTTACTTATGCTCCTGTTACCTAGTTGAAAGGTGGATAAATATACATGATCATCAAACCCTGACGACTGCTCTATTGTATAAGTAAATGGAATATGAAAAACTTTAATGTTTATCTTCACTAGATAATAAAGTCACAAAGGGCAAGAACCACATCTGTTTTTCATCACTGTAGACCAGAACTCAGTATATTGAGTAGCACATAGCAAATATTCTGTCATTACTTGCTTTTGATGCTTAGCGCTATTATTAAAGGGTCTACTAACTTTTAAATTTGTGTTTCACCCCCGACCCTAATATTTGATTGAGACAGTTTTTTAGATACACATCTTATTAGAGAGAAAGAAGCCCAAGTAGATTTGATTTGAAATTCTCAAAGTTTCATTCAAACTCTGTAAAAGGAGGAAAGCAACATGTTGACCAAACTGTAGAAATTTAAAAAGGAAAATGCTTAGATACTGAACATTTTAGAAGGGTAAGTCACAATGATATACTAGTCTTGAATTTTGATTGATGGCAAATAGGTATGTCAAAGTTCAGAACTTTATTGAAATTATAACCTATTCTGATCCTCAGCTAACATCCTAGAATAAGAGGGAATTTTCCACTGTAAAGTTTCAAGATAGAAAGATAATGGGCTAGATAACCTTCATAATCCTTCCCCTAAACAAAAGATTCTATGAATTCATGAACACACTAGAGACCCAGTGCACAAATTTGTGCACAGGTGGGGTCTGGTTGGCCTGCCCCAATTGGGGTGGAAGTGAGGTGGGGCTGAGCAGAGGTGGGGCCAGCCAGGGGAAGGGGCCACAGGCAGTTGGTGGGCAAACCCCATCCCCTGGTCAAACTCACGGTCAAGAGGGCAATATGAATATTAGCCTTTTATTATATAGGATGGCCAGTCATATTTTCCTCAGGGACTCAAAGACAATGTGTTACAAATTCAAATAACTTTAAATATATATATATTTTATTGATTTTTCACAGAGAGGAAGGGAGAGGGATAGTCAGAAACATTGATGAGAGAGAATCATTGACCAGCTGCCTTCTGCACACCCCTCACCGGGGATGTGCCTGCAACCAATGTACATGCCCTTGACCGGAATCGAACCTGGGACTCTTCAGTCCACAGGCTTACGCTCTATCCACTGAGCCAAACCGGTTTCGGCCAAATAATTTTTGATATATAATATGTATATTTCAATCATATATCCTTTAAATCCCCAACAATAAACCAAGTTAAAATAGCCAAATGAATACAAAATATTTTATATAGAATGATTTGTTGGTTGCAACAGATCAAACCCATATACATACTATAAACCCCAAAAGACATACATATTGCTTCAATATAATAGAAATTCACTCTAAATTATACTTCCAATCTATAAAGCTCATCATAGGCTCTCTGAATCTAGCACTATGCTAGCAAGTGCTCTGTAAATATTTTAGGAAACATTTTCCTTCAATGGGCTATACATAGACAGGAAAAATGGAGAAAAGCTGCTCTACATGAAACACTTAAAACAATATTCAGTATAGAAAGGAAATAAATAAAATTGTATATCTCTGCTACCAAAAGCTAGTCTAAGGGTAGTGCTACACTGTTCCATTTGGTCCTAATTGAGGTAGCTTTCTACTACCCCAAATTTTATAGACATGAATATTGATCTGAGGCAAAGTTTAAGGTCACAAGAGTGTTGGAATGAGCATTTAAAGTGAAATCTCCTAATTTCAAATCTACTTTCTACTGCATATGTTCTCCATTTCTTAAGACAATAAAACATGAGACTGACCAAATGTAATGTCTTATCCACATTTACTGTTAAAACTTTGAGACAATGTGCTCTAGATTTTCTTTTACCAAGTTCTTTAAACAGTGAAAGTAAGATTTCACTATGCAGGTAAAAGCCAAGTAAGGATAGTGAGCATAACAATTAATGTAACAAACAACCTCAGTTCAAATTAGTGGAATGGTTTCCCATTGGGATGGGCACTTATCCTCCAGGAGTAAATAACAACCCACCAGGGGACAGGATATAACATTAATCTTTTTATTTAAATGAGTTTTCAAAAATCTCATCCCTTTAATATTTTTCTGTTTGCTTATAATTTATATATTGGCACTATATAAATAAAAGATAGTAAGTTCATTTAGAATGCACAAGGTGACTTAGGAAATAGTCCTTGCCCTAACTGGTTTGGCTCAGTGGATAGTGTCAGCCTGCTGACTAAAGGGTCTCAGGTTCGATTCCGACCAAGGGCACATGCCTGGGTTGCAGGCTTGATCCCCAGTAGGGGGTGTGCAGGAGGCAGCCGATTAATGATTCTTATCATTGATGTTTCCATCTCTCTCTCCTTCTCCCTTCCTCTTTGAATCAATAAATATTTTTTTAAAAAGAAAATAATCCTTAGTGAGAGTTTTTCAATAAAATTATATAATACTAGTGACCTGATGCACGGATTTGTGCATACTGAAAGGAAATTAACTAGAATAAATTTTTTAATATTGCTATTCGCCCTTTCTATATAATAGAAGAGTCAACCAAATTCACAATCGACAATAACAGATCAAAGCACACATGTGTGATTGGCACCAGCAAAAGCTTTATATGTATCACACATGTATGAGTCAACTTAAGCTATTATGGACACAGAATAAACTTGCTTAATTAGACCTGCTTTATAATTTAGCTAGACTTTTTCCAGCTCAGTGAAGCACCCTAACTTATCTTTCAGGTAACTGTCAGCAACACAGCAGTAAATATCAACACAAAGCAGATTATTATGTAGTTCATGCAGGGAGAACAAAGGGTAAAACATTAACTGCAGCAGTGTTTGACTATATTCTGTGCAGTGAGGAAACCTGAAGTCATTTTCAAGGTTCACAGTTTTTTACTTCTTTTCAGTCGGATCAAGTTTCTAAGCTTTCTAAATCTCTGTTTTCCGGCTAACGAAAAAAACTAGGATTCCACTGAGTCTCCTATTTACTTACTCTGGGACTTCTGTGAGGATCAAATGAGATAAGGCATGGGAAAATGCTTCACAGACATTTGGTTAAAATGTAAAATGTTTCCACTTGTGTTCTTGGGCTGAAGATACTGCAGGGAGGCTAGTTGCTAGGGAAAGGAAGCTGGGTGTTGCTATGTGACGTCATTACCGGGAGCCCACAGCAACCATTTCTGGGCTGGGCTGGAGGGCAGATTTTGTGTCATGGGGTCTTGGCAGCATTGGCTGCGATTTGGTGTCATTCCGGGGTGGTGGTGGGACCTGTGTCCCACTTCGTTTCTCGGCGCCAGATCCATGGTGCCATTTTATTTTTAAACTAGAGGCCCAGTGCACAGATTCATGCACATTGAAAGGAAATTAATTAGAAGGTAGCTGACGGGGCAGGACTGGGTAAGGCAGGCCAGATACACCTTGGAACCAAACTCCTGAGGCCCCTCGCTGGCTGGCTGCACCTGGGCGGCACAGGGGCTTGCAGGGCGTCCGCGGAGTGAGCAGGGTTCCTCCAGCATGTGGGGTTGCTAGGCCTGGCCTATATAGATCGGGCCCAACAGTCTGACTCTCTATCCCTCTCCCTTCCTTTCTGTAAAAATCAATAAAACATTTTTTTAAAAATAAAAGGACAAATGGGTTTTTCAGATTTGTCTTTTTTTTCTTCTCTTTTTCTTTTTTTTCTTGTAAGATGGTCCCTTTTTCTCCTCCCTTCAGAATGTTGTCATTTTATTCAATGCATTCCCCAAGCCTCCTTCTCTTAGCTCAAATCTTGTATGGAGCAGAGTTCAAGTTGCCTAAGGCCACACCACAAGACCAGTAAGAGGCGGTGGCTTAAGGAAGGGGTTCCTCTAAATCAGCTGCCAAGAAGGCCAGTCCCACTGCCTTTCACCTCTGCTGGAGGCACCCACCACCTCAGGCCTTGAAAAGCTACATCTCCCAAACTACACACTCCCATTCCATCACAACAAAGCTTCTCAGAGCACAAAGAACAGCACTACCAGGCCAGCGGCTTCTCGCCAAATGTGCCTCCCACAACCCTAAGCCAGGATGCCTCAGACCCCCTGGTCCTCCTGGGCACACGAGCGCTCTGGTTTGGAAGTACGTAGGTGAGTCAGACAAAGGGAGGCTGAACCCAAGGCAATTTTCAAAAGCCCAGGAGAGTCCAGACTGCTGGTAAGCTGACCCTGCCCACTCACACCCAAGTCCTGTAACACCACAGCTAGGCTGGCCACTTGAAGGGCTGCAAGTTTTAATGCTCCCTGCAAGTCAGTGTTCTCTGCATCCAGAAAGCTGGCAACGCTGTCCCTTCTGAATTAGACATACACACCCCGGGATTTCTGTTTCCTGTGCTCGCGCGCGGGGAGGGGGGGGGGGGGGGGCACGGGCATGGGCATGGGATGGCATAATGGACCATGAAGGAGTAGGGTGTGGCAATTCATGGAGGGAACAGGTAAGAGCCAATTAAGGTCACCTCTCTGCCCAGGACAGAGCTAGGTTTAGGGGCAACCAGCCAAGAGGCCCCTAACAGCACAACCCCTTGGCGAAAGGAAGAAACTTGTCCACAGGCACTCCAGGGCCAGGTGCTACGGTTTGCTCTGAGGACCATTTTAAAAGCCAGAATGGTGATCAATAAAAGAATTAACAGTATTTTGTTTTCTTCCAAGTCTCTGGGAAAATTAAATTCAGGTTTTCAACAGATCTGCTAACATTTACAGTCGCCTGTGGCGAAGCAGGGTGTGTGTGGGGGCGGGGGGCGGGGGAAGACTGGCGCTAAAAGTGGAAATCGTGAGGAAGGTGCAGAGCTACGGGGAGGGGACAATCTGGGGATGCAGGTCCCTGATGCCATTTTCCATTTTGGGGGCTGTGCCTTACCTGTGAATGAAGCTTCCATGGCAACGGGCAGGATTCAAGCCCACTTCCCGGATGCCACTACCCCCTCTTCCCCTGTTGCCACACGCCCAGCCTCTGGCCCTTGGCTGGACTCCTCTGCTTGTGGCACCAGGCCTCGCCCCTTTTCACTTCACTGCTTCGTCCTCCCCTTCCTCCAGGTCCCCAAACCACTGGGACCTGGGGCCAGCCAGCAGCAGCAGCAGCTCTTCTGGGGAATCAGGTGGGTGGCACAGCCATGACTGGCGGTCCCCAGGCACAGCGATGGCAGCTGAGGGGATGGAGGTACAGTGGCTGGTCTGGCTGGCACTCCCTGCTGCTGTCCCTCCTGCCCCCCGGGACTTGGGGCTTGGGAGGCTGCAGTGTACACTGCCACTGCAACTCTGGCCAAACTGCCCGCCGTGTTCTTCACTTCAGCTCCTCCTCTTGGGGGCTGATTGGGTTGGGCCGGCAGGGGTGAGGGTGTGTGTGTGGGAAGGGGGCGATCGGGGCCTGGATCAGGCAGGCTGGCTGCCGCAGTGCACATCATAGCCACTGGTTGTTCTACCTTAACAGTCACTGGGCTTTTATATACATAGAAGATGGCTAGTGCGGTGTGCATCATGGCAGCTCCTACATTGAGCGTCTGCCCCTTGGTGGTCAGTGTGCGTCATAGCTACCAGACAGATGGTCAGACGGACACTTAGCCCTTTATATATATAGACTGAAGGAGAGTGGCAATTTGTGGCCCCAAATAACAAACTGATTTGGCCAGAGGTCATACATCCAATCAGAGGCACTTTATTTGAAAACATAAAAATAACAATATAAGAAAAAGTTAGCTAATGGAAAGCACTATTTCCAGTTATTCAGCTATAATTTCTCTAATAGCACAAATAAGATATATATGCCAATTAAAGTTTGTTAGAAATCAGTACACTGAAAAATTTCTCACAACAATCAATCACTAAATTATATCATACATTCCAATGGCTTCAGCTTAGGCTGCAACTAAATGTTATGTTCTGCTTATTGACAACCTCAATGCAGTATAGAATCTCAAGATTACATGGTCATACTTGACAATTAGACACAATCAAATTTTAATGACCTTTAACTATTAACATTTTTTAAAGTAAAAACATCAAAAAAAAAAAAAAAAAAAACTCAGGAAAAAATTTAAATATCTAATACACATGAAAAAATACACAAATTCTGTTAAAATACAAAAGTTAATATAGTTATATAAAGTCTTTTTAAACTAAAAGATTGGCAAATTTTACAAGTTTGATAAGACCAGAGATATAGTCCAGCTGGAGATGAGTTTAATTGGCAAAGATACAGTGAAACAGGGACTCTCAAACACTATTGGTGGAAGTACATTTTCAACTTTTATAGGTCAGTATCCATCAACATTTAAAATAAACAATCTGCTTCTTTTCCGACAAAACACCAAATGGCGGATGACGCCGGTGCTGCGGGAGGGCCCGGAGGCCCGGGGGCCCCGGAATAGGAAATCGCGGCGGCTTCCGTGGAGGATTTGGCAGCGGCCTCCGGGGCCGGGGTCGCGGCCGGGGTCAGGGCAGGGGCCGAGGCCGCGGAGCTCGTGGAGGCAAGGCCGAGGACAAGGAGTGGATCCCTGTCACCAAGCTGGGCCGCCTGGTCAAGGACATAAAGATCAAATCCCTAGAGGAGATCTACCTATTCTCCTTGCCCATCAAGGAATCCGAGATCATTGACTTTCTCTTGGGGGCATCCCTCAAGGATGAGGTGTTGAAGATCATGCCTGTGCAAAAGCAGACCCGTGCTGGCCAGAGGACCCGGTTCAAGGCATTTGTCGCCATTGGGGACTACAATGGACATGTTGGTCTGGGTGTTAAGTGCTCAAAGGAAGTAGCCACTGCCATCCGTGGAGCCATCATCCTGGCCAAGCTCTCTATTGTGCCCGTGCGGCGAGGCTACTGGGGAAACAAGATCGGCAAGCCCCACACGGTTCCTTGCAAAGTGACTGGCCGCTGTGGCTCTGTGCTGGTGCGCCTCATCCCTGCCCCCAGGGGTACTGGCATTGTCTCGGCCCCTGTGCCCAAGAAGTTGCTGATGATGGCTGGTATTGATGACTGCTACACCTCGGCCAGGGGCTGCACTGCCACCCTGGGCAACTTCGCCAAGGCCACCTTTGATGCCATCTCTAAGACCTACAGCTATCTCACCCCGGATCTCTGGAAGGAGACGGTGTTCACCAAGTCTCCCTATCAGGAATTCACTGACCATCTTGTGAAGACTCACACCAGAGTTTCTGTGCAGAGGACCCAGGCTCCAGCTGTGGCCACCACATAATTTTATACAAGAAAAATAAAGTGATGATTTAAAAAATAAAAAAAATAAAAAAAATAAACAATCTTTTAACCCAGTAAATTTTTGTTGTTAATCCTCACCCAAGGATAATTTTTCCAATTTATTATTATTATTATTATTATTATTATTATTATTAGAGAGAGTAAAAGGGGGAAAGACAAAGAACATAATGTGCAGCTGGGGATGAAGCTTGCAAGAAAGGTATGTGCCCTTGAATGGAATTTAATGCAAGACCTTTCAGTCCATGGACCAACACCCTTAACCACTTAGGCAAACCAGTTAGGGCTAATCCAGTAAATTTTATTTCAGAAATGTATATTATCAATATAAATAACCAATGCTTAATGTTTAAGAATGTTCACTGAAACATTATTTGTGATAACCAAATAGAAAAAATTTACATACTAAACATGTACTGGTATAGAAAAATTATCCTAAATATATTAAATTTAAAAGTAAATTACAGAAGAGTATATATTTAAGCTTTAAGAATACACAGAGACTGTTAACTCTTCTGGGGAGTGACAAAGGAATTGAGGATAGCAGGGAACTTTTACTTTTCCCTTAAATCTTTATATTTTGCCTTGAACATCACTTTTATAGTTAAAAATTATTTTTAAAATTTAGAGTGTTGAAGGTTTTACTACCTCAGAATTGTTTTAAAATATATTTCTATTGATTTCAGAGAAGAAGAGAGAGAGAGAGATAGAAACATCAATGATGAGAGAAAATAATTGTTATGCTGTCTCTTGCATGACCCACACTGGGGATCAAATCCACAACCTAGGCATTGCCCTGACCAGGAAGTGAGCCATGACCTCCTGGTCATGGGTCCATGCTCAACCACTGAGCCTCACTGGCTGTGCTACCAACAGAATTTGAAATCAATGCAGAAAGGGAAGATAATGGCATAGGTAAATACCTAAACTGCTGCCGGGCACAACAATTTCAAAACTACAACTAAAAGACAAAATGTCTATCACCCAGAGGCATGGGTGGGCTGGCTGAGTGAAAGTTCTACAACTAGACAGAAAGAGAAAAGAGCATTCAGTGCACAAACGCTGAAAAGCTGAGGTATGGGGGTGCACGTGATCCGGGCTGACTGAGGATCCTGGCTGGCAGAGGGCATTGCTATCTTCCACCAGAAGGGAGACAAGCTCCCGATTTCTCCGAAATGCAGTTTCTGGGGAGACATGCAGGACCCAAACTTCTTCGGGGAGAAGCTAGATTGTCTGCTATTGGGTTGGAAAGTGAGGGTGGCTTGCTTGCAGAGCTGCACGGAGGAATAATTGTTTGCTGCGCTGGGGCACAAGATGTGGGGACATGGTCGGAGGTGCGGGACTGCTGCCTGCCATTGCTGTTTGCCACACCCTAGCCTAGTGACACCCTGAGACCCAGCCCCACACAATCTACAAACACACACAAGCTCCAAGCAGCTCCATTTTGCATATGAATGGCCTTCACTATCATGCTGCCACTTAACCTCGCAAACTTGCAAACCGGTTCAGACAGCTCCATAATCTACAAATCCCAAGCAGGGAGGAGAGGACTGTAGTTCTCATGTAGCTCCCGCAGGCTGGCATCACACAGTAGCTGACCTGCACCCAGATCCAGAAGCCAGTGTACCTAGTGGTCAGTGTGAGACACCAGATTTCAACTCCTCACATCCATAAGTGATACATTCAAGAGGCAGACTCAAAGCCCCACTGAAACAAGTCCTGCACCATAAGCATGTCTCCAGTGCAGCAGTTCCTCCATTATAAACACAGCGGGTCCCCACAGCCAATTGGCCTGGAGGACAATTCCTCCCAGTGTACCAATAGCAATCAAGGCTTAACTACACCAAGACTTTGCACTCTACTCACAAAGGGATGTACCAAGACCATCCACCTCAGGTGATTGGGGAGGCTGAGCTACTGGCCCCTATAAGTCACCTATCACACAAAGCCTCTCCATCAACACAGGGTAGCAGCCAAAATGCAGACACACAGAAACAAGTCACAAATGAAAAAAATGGAGGAAAGCAAACTATGGGATGACATACGAGTTCAAAACCACATTTATAAGGTTACTCAAGAATCTTCTAAAAACTGCTGAGAAACTTGAAGAGACCTTCAAGGACCTTAATGAGAATACAAAAAAAAAAAGGAAAAGGACCAGTCAGAAATTAAGCATACACTGTCTGAAATAAAGAATATACAGAAACTCAACTGTAGATCAACGTACCCCAAGAGTCAAACCAAAGATCTAAAGTATGAGGAAACAAAAAACACTCAACTAGAAAAACAAAAAGAAAAAAGGTTCAAAAAATATGAAGATAATGTAAGGAGCCTCTGGGACAACTTTAAGCATACCAACATACGAATTTTTGAAGTGCCAGAAGAAAGAGAGCAAAATACTGAAAACCTATTTGAAGAAATAATGACAGAAAACTTTCCCTACCTGGTGAAAGAAATAGACTTACAAATTCAGGAAGCACACAGAACCCCAAATAAGAGGAATCCAAAGAGGACCACACCAAGACACATCATAATTAAAATGCCAAGGGCAAAAGACAAAGAGAGAATCTTGAAAGCAGCAAGAGAAAAACAGTTAGTTACTTACAAGGGAGTATCCATACAAATGTCAGCTGATTTCTCAACAGAAACTATGCAGGACAGAAAGAGATGGCAAGAAATATTCAAAGTGGCCAAAACTGGTTTGGCTCAGTGGCTAGAGCGTCGGCCTGTGGACTGAAAGGTCCTAGGTTCGATTCCGGTCAAAGGTATGTACCTTGGTTGCAAGCACATCCCCAGTAGGGGGTGTGCAAGTGGCAGCTGATCGATGATTCTCTTTCTATCCCTCTATTCCTCTCTCTTCCTCTCTGTAAAAAATCAATAAAATATATTTTTAAAAAATATTCAAAGTGATGAACAGAAAGAACCTACAACCAAGATTACTCTACCCAACAAAGTTATCCTTCAGAATTGATGGTCAGATAAAGAGCTTCACAGACAAGAAAAAGCTAAAGGAGTTCATCACTACCAAACCAGGATTACATGAAATGCTGAAGGGTACTATTTAAGAAGAGGAAGAAGAAGAGAAAGGTAAAGATAAAAATTATGAACAAAAAGACATCAAATACATACCTACCAACAAGTGAATCTAAAAATCAAGTGTATAAAAAGTCTGAAGAACAGAATGGACTGGTGAATATAATGGCATTAGGGACATAGAAAGGGAGTGGACTGACAATTCTCGGGGGAAAAGGGTCTGAGGAGTGTGGGAAGTGATTGGACAAAAATCTTACAGCTATAGATGAAGACAGTGGCCAGGGGTAAGGGCATAGGGTGGGGGAGAAGAGGAACACCTATAATAATCTGAACAATAAAGATTAAAAAAAAAAAAAAAAAAAGAGCCGAAACTGGTTTGGTTCAGTGCATAGAGCATCCACCTGCGGACTGAAAGATCCCAGGTTCAATTCTGGTCAAGGGCATGTATCTTAGTCGAGAGCACACCCCCAATAGGGGGTGTGCAGGAGGCAGCTGATCAGTGTTTCTCTCTCATTGATGTTTCTAACTCTATCCCTCTCTCTTCTTCTCTGTAAAAAAATCAATAAAATATATTTTAAAAAGAAAAAGAAATCAATGCAGTTGTCAATGGAATACTATGGAATTATTATTTTATTGTAGTAACTATGTATTTTACACGGAAAGATAAGTATTATACAATTAATGAAATAAGTAAGTTTTAGCATGTAAGCTTGACACTTTTTCTGTATGTGCATATCATAAAGAAAAATTCTTTAAGTATATATCCCAAAATGTTAACCTAGAAAAACATGGTAATCAAGTATAGAGTATGTATGACAAGTTTTCATCTTTTATTTTCTCTTATTTTACATTGTTCTAATTTTTTTCAATTAGAATGTATTCCTGAATTTCTTGGGCAATTAAAATTTTATACACATACACACACACACACATGCATACTCACTCTCTATATATGTATTTTCCCAAAAATCAGATAACTAACTACACCAAGCTATTAACCTGTTAACCGAGCGGGACCTATAAATACGTCAAACGTAAACAATATCGGGAACGGGTAGGACGTATGAATACGTCCTTGAAATATATGTTGCGCCCCGAGAGGGATGGTATATATTTTTTGTAATCGTTTTTTAAAAAATATTTTATTGATTTTTTTACAGAGAGGAAGGAAAGGGGAGGGATAGAGAGTTAGAAATATCGATGAGATGAGAGAGAAACATCGATCAGCTGCCTCTTGCACACCCCCCACTGGGGATGTGCCGGCAACCAAGGTACATGCCCTTGACCGGAATCGAACCCGGGACCTTTAGGTCCGAAGGCCGACGCTCTATCCATTGAGCCAAACCGGTTTCGGCTATTTTTTGTAATCTTCATCATTGTTTGTAGAATTTATAATTTTTTAATTCGACATGTCCATTTTTTTTGGTCGGTATTCTTTTCTATTTTTTTTGTAATTTTGTATTTTCCTCTGTGCTTTATATATATAAATAAATGAATATGTATATACATATATATTTCATTTATTTTCATTAAGTATAAATTTTAAAAAAATAATATGAAATTACGTCCTCCGGGCGTGACGTACTGACACGTCCTAGTGAAAGAGTACGTGCCCTTTACAGGTTGCGTCATTAAAAAGGGAACTCCCCGGTTAACAGTTAAGAATGAGATTACATGGTCTTTTCATTTTCTGCTTTATTCACTTAAACATCTTAAGCTTCTGAATGAGCATACATTAATTGGAGTCACAAAAAATATAGTTTTATTATTTTAAGGTACTTTATATATTTTAAAATTCACATATGAAAAAAGCAAATTAAAGATAATGAAAACAGCCGAAACTGATTTGGCTCAGCGGTAGAGCATCGGCCTGCGGACTGAAAGGTCCCAGGTTCGATTCCGGTCAAGGGCATGTACGCTGGTTGCAGGCACATTCCCGGTAGGGCACATGTGTCAAACACAAGGCCCGCGGGCCAAATCCGTCCCGCCAGGCCTTGCAATGTGGCCCGCACCGCGCTGTCATCACTGCACTCCACTGCGTTTCCATCACAATGACAGTTTATGACTGTTCAGTAAACCATTCGGCCCACGATTTAGGCTGGATTTTAGATTTTGGCCCCTTCTCTGATTGAGTTCGACACCCCTACGGTAGGGGGTGTGCAAGAGGCAGCTGGCTGATGTTTCTCATCGACTTTTCTAGCTCTCTATCTCTCTCCCTTCCTCTCTGTAAAAAATCAATAAAATATATTTTAAAAAATAAATAAAAATAAAGATAATGAAAACACCAATAGAAATATTACTGTTTTATACATTCAGATACCATAAAATGCAATTCCCAACCTAAACCATTAATTCTAGTAATAGTGGTTGAGAGTTGACCTATGAACCAAGAGGTCACAATTTGATTCCAGGTCTGGGTTGTGGGCTTCATCAGCCAATCAATGATTCTCTGTCATCATGATGTTTCTTTCTCTCTCTCCCTCTCCTTTCCTCTCTGAAGTCAATAAAACATTTTTAAAAAACACCATACATTATTGTGCTGGTTAATGTCACACACTGAGGTTATTTCCTTGGAAGCAAAAATACTATGAACTCAAGTATCAGCACAATAAATTACTAGACACTCGCGCCGCCACCCCACTCCAAAAAAAAAAAAGGTACTCAAAAAAACACATTAGAGAAATCAGACATAAAACAAAAGTGATGATAGACAAATACATCACTAGCTCGCAGTCTACTTAGGAAGCAGAAATATTAGTAAACTTGAATAAACCTGAAATCAAGATATGTCTGAAATATAATTCATTCTCAACTTACAAAAATTATAATACATTTATGAAACTTTTTTTACATAGGACAAAACAAGACACCATATTGGAATCCTTGAACAAGATGATATAAAAAAAAATAGTTTCCTAAAACTTTCATTGCTGATATAAAGCCAATATACAAACTATTATGTGAAAAATTGGAGAAACTATTAAAGTTACTGAACATCTTTTATGTGCTAAGCACTCAGGCAGGTGTTATTTTCATTTTACAGGTAAAAAACTGAGGCTCATAGAAATTAAATAACTTTCCCAGGGTCACACAGCTGTGGCAAAGTCTTCAAACTCCAGACTCTTGCTATTTTTCCTATATCAGCATTTCCTAAACATATATACATAACTAGAGGCCCGGTGCATGAAATTTGTGCAGGGGGCGGGGAGGTGGTGGGGAGAAGGGGGTCCCCTCAACCCAGCCTGCACTCCCTCCAATCTGGAATCCCTCTATAATCTGGGACTGCTGGCTTCTAGCTGCTCACTTACCTGCCTGCCTGATTGCTCCTAACTGCTCACTTGCCTGTCTGATCACACCCACCTGCCCCCCTTGCCAGCCTGATGACTTCTATCTCCCCTCTCCCCTCTCCCCTGCTGGCCTGGTCGCCCCCAATTGACCCCCTCTGCTGGCCTGGTCGCCCTTAACTGCATCCCCCACTGGCCTGGTCACCCTTAATGTCCACCCCCGCCAACCTAGTTGCCCCTAACTGCCTCCCCTGCTGGCCTGGTTGCCCCATGCAGTCTGCTGTTCAGTCGTTTGTTCAAGGTTTCCAATATGGTGTCAATTATATACAAAATAAATGCTTAAATCTTGCTAAGCAATCCTAGTAGAAAATATCATTACTCTAAATATTTGTAGAATATAAGTAACCATGAAAAGTTCTTAGAAAACATAAAAAAAGAGATTTTATTCAGATAGTCAAGATATAAAGAACAGTAAGACTTTATCCCGGCTGGGAAGCAGCATAAATTGGTTGGGAAAAAAAAAAAAGAAAAGTCCCTGTTTCTTGATAAAGACGGGTAAGACTTGCTTGTTACCCGCAAGAAGTCTAGTCAGAAATTTAAGGAAGGGAGGAGATAAAAGATCAATAAATATTGAGTACCCATTAAGTGCCAGGGATTATTCTAGGCTAGGGGTGTTGAACTCAGTCAGAGAAGGGGCCAAAATCTAAAATCCAGCCTAAATCGCGGGCCGAATGGTTTACTGAACAGTCATAAACTGTCATTGTGATGAAAACGCAGTGGAGTGCAGTGATGACAGCGCGGTGCGGGCCACATTGCAAGGCCTGGCGGGACGGATTTGGCCCGCGGGCCT